TTGAAGGCCGTGTGTTGTGTCCTGTGGCCTTGTACCACTGACATGCACGAGCTGGCTAGCTTGCCACATGCCCTCTGCCCTTGGCACCGTAGAAGTCGGAGCACAAAGTCACTTCTGTGTCAGGGCCGTGGGGCTGCTTCGATTTCATTTCCGGAGGGGCAGAAAACACAGCCCTTGGAGGGGGATGAAAATGCACTCAAGCTTTTTAAGCGAGCTGCTGGTTTATTTTGTTTGAGTGTGGAGACACTCTGCTCCCCCGGTCCCTATTCTCTAAGTATTTTTTCTGTGAGTTACATCTTAGAGGTGAAGCAAAAATAAGTTGTAAGAGCTATTTTCGAGCTCCCCTAATGAAAACTGACTATTACAGAGAATAGAAATCCTCGTAACTTTCAAGTGGAATTTTCTGCCACAACATCACAAACAGATCACCTGAAGTCATCCTGTTGGTAAACTGGATAAGACTCAATGTGTTTTTTCTTAAATTTATTATCTAGAACATTTACCTTGAGAGTTTTATTAAGGCAAGAACATGAAGAGGCTTTTTAAAACATCGGTTCATTGACTCTACTGTTGGATTTAGTGATGAAAGCTTACAGTATGTCGTAATGAACATTGAAGTTGGTGTCTATCCCTTGAGGTTTTAGGTTCAGTATGTTCAAGAATTCAAATATGCCAAAGTCCATTGAAAGTGATCGTTTTGAAAGTTAAAAACAGCTGCCGTCTTCCCTGGTGTTCTGCAAAATACAGTAGCTGCAACCTTCAGCTTATAAATACCCTAACCTGACCTTGACAATGGAGTAAGCTTCGGAAAGGAACAACAAGAACAAATTAATATGCATTCAAATCATCCAAAGAAAACTGATAATCTTCACATAGTTGATCATCTTAAAAGGGAGTCTGTTATTAGAGGTTGCAGTCAAAGTTTTGGAAGCAGTGTATCTCCCACACAGATGAGTTTCGTTTTTGTTTTTCCTGTGGTTTTCGCACACACGCAAATATCCACATTCCTAGAACAACTCCAACACTCACTATGAGCATTTTTTCCCCAAATAAATTCATTTGCTTTGAAAGAATTTTGACACAGCTCCAAGAGATCACCAGTTCGAGGAGACGACATTCTTTCTTCCATCGTATCTTTAGCCACAAACAAGCAGAAACAGGTAATCAAGCACAGCCTCTTTCACCAGTAGATTCGTCACACTGACTGCAAAAATAAGGTGTTATATATCTTCAACTAAAATAATCAATTGCATATTTGGTAATAGAATAGAACAAAGTTATATTTTGGTATTTTTCTTCAATCTTTTGGCAGGCCTCTCACAGCAATGTTTCAGAAGGCTTTTTTTCGATGTGATGATGTGTTTCATTATTTATAGTAAAAAGTATTACATCATAGAAAACTTCCAGAGCCTTTATAGAAACTTAGGCGTGTGTTTCCTTAGTGTCTAAGCTTATGCATTACTTGGAATTTTGCTCTTCAGGATGGAAAAAGCTTCTTAGGAATTTAAAAAACAATGTGGGTGATTTTTCATTCAAATGTTGTTCAAGTTGAGAGCCCAAAAAGGCATCAGAACACAGCGCTTTGTGGGTATTTTATGGAGGGAGTCCATCCCTACCATCGGGAACAGAGGAAACCATATCTCATGGAGTTCTCGTACATTTGTTTTCTTTTGATCACCATCTCAGCTCCTCAAAGGAGAGGGAGAAGAGACCTGCTGGGGCACTTGGTCTTGAGGACAAAGCAATGAGCTGTGTCACTGGAGCTGGTGGAGCTGGGCTGCTGCAAATCCTTGTCTGTGCCTGAACCCCAGTGTGCAAAATTTTCTCTCATTTTCCCTATTTCCCTACATTCATGGCCAATATCTCCCTTTATTTAATGGTGCCTGAGCCAGCTTCTAAATTATTTTTCTTGGTAATCTTCTGCTTTTTTTAATAAAGTCGGGAGGAACACAACAACCAAAAAAACTTAGCCAATACTCCTTTTTTATGCATTGTATTATAGTAAGCACAAAATTGAAGTTCCCATTTAGATGAAACAAATATGGGATCAAAACAATAAATTTTAACAATAAGTGTATACTTTACTGTGAAATAGTAAATTTTATATGAAATAGGAATAAGTTTAGAGCATCCTACACATGTGTCTTATGCCAAGTTAATTTTAGAAATGACTGTACGTTCTGCATATAATTGTCAGTCAAAATTTCGCTGTTTTACTTCTTGTCATTTATATTATGAAAACAGTAGTTTTTTTTTTCATTTTCCAAATAACCAGCAAACGTGCTGAACATGTGTTCGAAGCACACGTGCCACTCTCCTTTCCCTCCTTGTGGTCCAGGCCCGCCCCCTGCCTGGAGACCCTCTGATCTGTCTCAAGCAGAAGGTTGGTTCTATGAGTTCCTGAGCTGGACTGGCAGTGAGTGAGGACCACTCTTCTCGGTCCCGTGAGCAGCAGCGGGCATCAGAGAAGTGTGTTCTCACAGCTATCTTTAGTAACGTTCCCCATCATAACCATGATGGCTCTCTTCCATTCGTGGTATTTGCTAAATTAAATCCAAATGTTCAGAAAGGAAAAGAAAGCAAAACACGTGCATGAGAAGAAAACTCGCTGGTTGGTCGTGGGACCCAGACAGTTAGGGTCTTCCCCTTCGATTCCACAGAGCAAGGGCCTCGGAGCACTTTCCTCGGACCAGGGTAGCTTTGACTCCGGAAAGTCCACAGCTGTGATTGAAATGACACACACTTTAGGTGGAATCAAGTGTCACATTTATCGTCAGTATGTTCTGAATAGGCTTTCTCAAATTGCACATTCTGGCAATCAAATACAAAGATATTTATCTTTTTTCCTTAGATGCCTTAGTGATACTGAGTTGGAAGCAGGTCAGATTCTATGGCTTCTTCTCCCTCCCGAGTAAAGGTTTTAACCAGTATGTGTTCTGGTAATGACTTGTCCTGCCCTCCCTCCTGCTGTGTGATGTAGCCCAGCGCTGTGAGGCTCACCTCAAAGAAATAGTCCCTGCCTCTTCCAGGGCTCGGGGACCCGTGACCTGCAGGGTGGGGCAGCCGAGGGGGTGGGAAGGGGAGACCTCCCCAGCTTTTTCCAGGCCTCACCTTGGCTGACCTACTGTGTGCTGCTCACCCCCAAGGCTTCCAGAGAAAGCCTCCGAGAGTCTGGCCTCGGCCCTAGGACCAAACGCACTGCTGCGCCAGTGAGTTGTGGATGGGGCTGCTCAGCACTGCTTAGCGGGCAGCTCCTCGGGCAGAGCTCCAGGCCCAGAGCTGCCCTCTCCTTGCAGAGAGTAGCCCGTGGCTGCTTGGCTGGCAATTTTCCTGGAATTCCCACCTCCCACACTCCCAGCACCTGCCCCTTAGCAGCCAGAGTCTTCACCCTGGTGTCTGAGCTTGGCCTATATCATGTCTCTTAACCCCTTCTTTCTTCATACCTCCAATTCTTCTTCTCCCAACAACCAACCAACTAGGAAAGCTAACAACTCTCTCATTTGAAATACTGACATTATGTTTCTTAATTTCTACTTTGGTTAATGAAACATATTTAAGGTATTTACAGAACCAGTAGCAGCACATTTTACCCCATGGGTCTCTAAGAAAGAATAACATTAGTGAATCATTACTCAAAATGCATCTCCCTTTGGCTTTGTACTTTATCAGGGTTGTCCAAGTTATGAGTTTTACCAATTATATCTTAGACTTCTTCACTTAAAATAGAAAAAAAAAAGCCTCTTCTGGTGGAAGACTTGTCCTCAATATTTTGTATAAACATAGTTGTGATATCATCATGCTCTGCTGTACATTATACAAACAGTAAAATAATCTTGATATTAAAATTTAAAGAAATACATGAGCATTAGCAAGAAGACATAGTCTTACATTATCAGGAAGAAAGATTTATATTCATTTACATACATAAATGGAATTGGCATCAGAGATGTGTGGCAAAAAGTGGGAAAAAAAGTGGGTCTATGTTCCAAAAAAGTGGGAAAAAAATAAGAACATCAAGGCTATACATCCCAGTTTCCTTACTGAATTATTGCAACAGGCTTATTGTTCTGGTGTTACTATTAATAGTGACTGTTTTCATTTGCAAAAGTGTTCTGGTTTGTATGTACATTATATAGCTGCCTTCTTATGGGAGATGTGCATAAAATGCTTGTCAAAATGATATGTTGGTTGTTGATTAAACAGAATGTAGGCCCAAAGCAGCTTCCTCAAGACCCAATTGGCCATCCCATCATGCATCTGTCTGGTATTAACCATGCCACGGGTGAAGCCATCTACTGTGACGACATGCCAGCGGTGGACCCGGAACTTTTCTTGACTTTCGTAACAAGTTCAAGAGCTCATGCTAAGATTGTGTAAGTGATGCAGTTCTTACAATAGACGTTAATGATTGCCCTTTCGTCTAAGTCACGTTAGTGAGGAGTAATGGAATGAAGAGGATAAACTGTTTGTTGTGATATCCAATGCAGATTAGAGGTGAAATGGGATCGAAAGGTAGGCTTTGCTACAATGTGTCCCTCCATTGGATAACTTCATCGTCTCAGGAATTTTTCCCAATTGTCTGGCAGAAAACTGTCGTGAAGGGTTCTTAGACGCATCTTACCTCTCTCATGTCTGATTCTCCAATGAAGCACGTCCTCCGGGGTCTTCGGCTGTGGGGCTGCTCTGAGGAGCCCTGCTCTGTGTTCTCCTCTAGGTCTCTTGATCTGTCAGAAGCTCTCAGCCTGCCGGGCGTGGTGGACGTCGTGACTGAGGAGCATCTTCGCGGCGTAAACTCCTTCTGCTTTCTAAGTAAACCTGAGAAACTTCTGGAAACAGGGGAGGTACTGCATTTTTGCTTTCTGTTTTAACAATACCTTCCTCCATTAAAGGCACTTCATGTTTTCTTAAAGATAGCATCGCGTTTGGCACATCATCAAGGATTCCAGCATTCTTTGAGTGCTTATCATAAAACACTATATTCTAATGTTGAATGAATACAAAGATATTCATTTTTCACCTGAGAAGTTGACTAGTTATATAACAGATATTTTGATGTTTTATATTTTCTAGCAGTAAGATAGTGTGCTGCTAACAAGGATGAAAGGATAAGTGAGGAGAGAATAACGGTAACTTTTATTTGCTAATCCCTCCCCTGAGAATCTCTCACCCTTGCCACAGTCTCAGTGTGTCCAAGTCCCAGGTCCAAAGTCAAGTGGCATCTCCACACGAAGACTTTCCTTTAACCCCGGAATTCTCCCTCCCTCTCTGGACTCCCTGACTCTTTCATCCATAGGGCCATGTATTCAGCAGGCGTTGTTAAAGTGAGTACCTACTATGGCTGGTCACTGTAGCTGAACGAGACCCATGTGGTCCTCGCCCTCACAGAGCTTAAAGTCTAAAGGAGAAGGCAAAGTGGACCTTTAATGCACTTTCTACCTGTGTGAAGCTACATGTTTATTCCTATGTCTTATATGTTTCCCGTACCTTGTCAGCTTCCTTGAGTGCGGGCCCGTGTCTGATTCATCAGTATGTTCCACACACTGCTTCCCACGTCTCGGGGTCGAGGGGTAAATGAGAGAGGAACAATGATAGCATTGTTGCCATTTGGAAGTTTCACATGACTGAGATTTTGGCTACTGTGTCTTAAGATATCAGAAAATGGGGCAGGGGCGGTTCAGCAGGTGTTCTGTGTAACTCAGACCTCTCAGTTCAGTGTGTGCCCACAAGAGCTCGTCATTTGAAACAGTCCCTACCTGTGGCTCTTGCTGGCAGACTTAGTTGATAGAAATGAAAGTTTGATGACTGAGAGTCTGAAGTCAAGGTTGAAACTCCCCTGAGGCAGGGCTGTGTGGCACTGGCAGAAGACAATGAGAATTCAGTTAACCAAACAAGCAAACCAGTCCAGGTCACACGACAGTACCTGCTCTCTGTGGTGTGGGTACATTGATTATGAGCATTTCAGGGCCTGTCTGTGTGCCAGATCACAGGGGCTAACCCTGAGAGCAGGAACAAAGCACTTGTGAATGATCGCCTTTATTAGTTTAGTTCCCTTTTAACATTTGTCTATAGAACGTTATGCTTTTTAAAAATCTTTTCCTTGTAGAATTTTTTTTTTTATTTTTCATGAGGAAGACTAGCCCTGAGCTAACATCTGTTGCCAATCCTCCTCTTTTTGCTGAGGAAGATTGGCCCTGAGTTAACATATGTGCCCATCTTCCTGTATTTTATGTGGGCTGCCTGCCACAGCATGGCTTGATAAGTGGTGTGTAGGTCCGCATCCAGGATCCAAACCTGGGAACCCCAGCCGCCAAAGTGGAACGCGTGAACTTAACCACTACGCCACTGGGCCAGCCCTATCATTTTAGAAATTTTAAGCATACACAAAGTTAGAGAATAAAAGTACAATGAATCTCCATAGACCTATCTCCTAGCTTCAACAATTATGGACATTTTGCCATTCTTGTTCATTTATCTCCCACTGCTCCCACACACCCACATCCAGCAAACACACGTGTGTGTGTGCTGGATTTAACTTTTCTTACTACCATTTTTTTAGAGGATAAAACTACTATATGCTCTGGGCCAGCCTGGTGGCATAGTGGTTAGGTTCGCACAGTCTGCTTTGGTGGACCGGGGTTTGCGGGTTTGGATCCCAGGCGCGCACTGATGCACCGCTTGTCAAGCCATGCTGTGGGGGTGTCTCATATAAAGTAGAGGAAGATGGGCACTGGTGTTAGCTCAGGACTAATCTTGCTCACCAAAAAACAAACATAAAAACTACTATATGCTGATTGCAGAAAACACTTGATACTCTAAAGTAGATTTAAAAAATGAGTGAAGTTTGAATAGTGATCATGGGAAAAGGTGGGAGAAAGACTACACAGTCGTTGTGTCTTCTTCCAGGCCTGACTGTTTTCCCTTTCTGGAGCCTTCATTTTGTTTTTTCCCATCAACGTTGGGCCCTGGTCCCCGTGTGAGCTCCGTGGCGCCCCCCTCACCTCAGGTGACATGCTGCAGGGGATGCTGTGTGTGGTCACATCTTGGCTGCTGCCGTCTTATGTCTCTTCTGAGCAGCACGGGCTGCGCCACAGTCTGGGGCAGAAGGGGGCTCACCAGCAGTGCTGGGTTGTCACTCTCTCCCTCCCTCCTCTCTGGAGGATGTGGGCTGTGACCTCCTGGTCCTCCGTGTCCATGAGGGCAGAAGCTGCCACTCAGAGTGGCCCTGCTCGTGGAGTGGCAGCCCCAGGTCAAGCCGAGGGACTGGCTGTCCTGGGCCAGTGGCCCTGAGCTGTCCCGTCTGCTCGGCCTGGAGCCTGAGTCTGCTGTGCTTGAGGCAGGGTCACTCCTGCCCCTCTCAGCCACTACTGCCACCCCTGTCCCACAGAGACGTGAGCTCCCAGTGCCTGGGGTCAGCGCCCTCTCCTGCCGAGGCCTGTGTGAACCTCGGCGCCGTGGGCACAGGCCCGTGTGAAGGGTCGTTGACTGCGCATCCAGCCCTGTGCTCGGTGGGAGGAAGGAGAGGTCCTGTTGCCCGCCCTCCTGAATACAAGATCTTGCTGTGTCGCAGGTGTCCTGTGTGGGTCAGCTCGTCTGCGCCGTGATTGCGGATTCCGAGGTTCAGGCAAAGCGAGCCGCGAAGCGAGTGAAGATTGTCTACCAAGACTTGGAGCCGCTGATCCTAACTATCGAGGTGACCAGTTCAAGGGTGGGGCCGGAAGAGCAGATTTCAGTGGTGCATGGGGTAAAATGCGTTTGACTACATGTAGTAACAGGAAAGAAAACCTGACTCCAAGTGGCTTCCAAAACACAGGGGCTTTATGGGCCCCAAACTCTATCAGTGTTAGCAAGAAACCCCATTTTCTGCCTCTCCTCCCTGCTGCCCACGGTACAGGCTTTATCCCCTGTGGTCACAGGATGGCAGCCAGGAGCTTCTGGTTCATGTGCACGAAGCAGGGAGAGCACTCTTGTCCCAGATTCCACGAGTCCTGAGATCCAGCCTCATCAGGCTCTCAGCGCACATGTCCATCTCTGACTTCATGACTGGCCAGAGGAGTGGAGGAGCTGTTGGTTACTGCTCGGGTCAGATTTCTCTGAGGTGCATGGGCTGTGTGGGGGAGTGGTGGAGACCCAAAGAGAAATCTGAGCCCCATTTGGAAGGGGGAAGGTGACACCCAACAGTGTCCAGGAGAGTGGACGCGCCCTGTGACTCTGTATTCACCTTCGCCCGGACTCTCTCAGGCACCCGGTGAGAACCAACAGGCTACTCTGTGAAGCAGATATTGAAGGCACTATTTTTAGATCCTTCAATGCATATCTAAATGAGTGTGAGAAATAGATCCTATGATGCCTACAGATATTTTGGCAACTTTAACAAATTGGAGAATTGCATTTCCTGTTTCTTGGAAAAGAGTTAGAGATTTGTAAAGGTTTTCAGACTCATCTCCACATAATGATGGAGTGTTTTTCTGTATACGTTTCATCGGTTCTTATGATTTACTAAGCAATCAAAGCATGTAGGTTGGGCAAGCAACATGAGTAGACTAGATTCGGCACCTCCGGACCCCGTGTCCCCTGGGTGTGCAATATTGTCTTCACAGCGGAATGAATAAGCTGTCTCTAGGTGACCAGCCTGGCCTGAGGGGGAAAGGAGGAGATGACTTGGCCAAGGTTAGGTCTCCAGGAGAACTTGGCCTTGCGTGTGTTTCCTGTCCTGTCGCCTCATCCTAGGAAAACAGTGTCTGTCTGGACACTGTCTGCAGTGTTTTACATAAAGTAAGATCAGGTCGAGAAGACAAAGATAGAAGTTTAGCTGGAGGGAGAGAGTGATGAGGCCTTCCAGATGTTCCTGGCTGGTTTCAAATTGGAACTTTCTGTTCCCTTCTCAGACCCTTGTCACTCACACGTTGCCTGCTGTGCTTGCTCACCTTACACGCTCCTTCCCCCACATTGTGTTTTAGAGTTAGAGTTACTTCCTCATAGGAAATTGCTTACATCATGCTTCAGCAGAAATTTTGTTTGTAATCCTCTGCCCAATTCCAGTGGCTAAACATCTTCTGTTTCCTCACCCCACCTTCCAGCCAAATAAAATTCCACATAAGCACATCGATACCACTCTCTTCCCGCCCTCCCCAGCTCCAGCCAGCAGATGTCTAATTGTCTGCCGGAGAATGCCAGCCTTGCACATTGTGGAGAAGAGCTGCCTCCTGTTTTCATCAGAGGCTCAGCTCTCCAAGGTCAATCGACTGGATCAGACTGGATTTAATCGAAGTTTATAGCAGGCCAATATGGCCAGCTCCGTACACACTACAGTTCTTCTACACTTTCCTGACCAAGAAATACTCAGGAAATTGCCTCAAAGTTACTCAAAGAGCAAGCAGCAAGGGAAGTGGCAAAAGATTAAGCTTTTAGAAATAGGATTTATAGAACTTAACTTCTCTTTTCAACCTGGAATATCTGGGTCTTAGATTAATAAGAAAATCATATGAATTGATTCCAGGTGGAAGTGTGTTATCAGTCAAAACAGGGTAAAAACACTGTATCTCTGTCGCTGTCACTAAGGTTTAGCCTAGCTCATGCTTTAGAGCTTTCAGAGTTTGCGTGGGGAAACACTATCAAAACTCTTGGCTCAAGGGGTCAGTCTGATGACCATGGTGAGAAAAGTGTGCTCCTGACCAGACTCTCTCATCACTCATCACGATCAATAACATGACCATAGCTAAGCCCTGTACAGAGCCCGCTGTGTGGGTGCATGGTTCTAAATAGGCTTCGTGCATTAATTCACTAAGTGCTCCCAACAATCCTATGAGGTAAAAACTGTTATCCCCATCTGATCAGGAACCAAAAGACAGGGTTACCCAAGGTCACACAACTAGTCAGTAATGGAAGCAATCAGCAAACACTCCATTAAAGAACCTGGGCCCATGGTGGTAAAAACAAACCAGCCCACTTTTTGAACAGAGGAAATGGCAGGATGACAACAGAACATCCCTGTAGTATGTCGATAGGTCTAGACACCTACTGGTGGCCACAGGGAACCAGAGTTTGCAGAATCCTTAGGTGCCAGCAGGTTGGAATTTCAGGGGTTGACAATAATCCGTGGTGGACAATGCTGACGGGAGCTGGCGAGTCACGTTTGCCTGTGGACACAGGGATTGCAGCAAGATAATTCCTGGGGATGGGGAAGAAAACCAACCTAGAGGACTGTAGCTACGTCCCTGATGATGTGTGCCCACCACTGACCCCCTTCACTGGGCACCCAGGGGAAGCCGGTAGGAGCTAGTGTATAAGTGGGTTTGTGGTACCCACGCTGGGCTTGTAATGGAATCATACTTCCAGGGCTGGAGGTCTCCCTACTGCCCTGTGCTCATCTCCCCAAAGGAGGAGCATGGGGCTGGCAGGCAGGGCAGCCATGATCCTTATCACTCGAGTGTCTTCAGCTAGCATTGATGGAGCACCTACTATATGCCGTGCAAGCTCTGGACGTGCCTCATTTCATCCTCCTGACAACCCTAGTGGAGCTCTGTGCCCAACTTTTCCTCCCTGTACAGATGAGGCTCAGAGAGGGGAAGCAGTAGGCCCATGGTCAAACAGCTGGAAATGGAGAAGATGGACCCACTCCACCGGACCCAGGGCTCAGGCTCTAAACCCCTGCTGCGCGGCCTCGCTGCATACAGTGGTTGTGGAATGAAGAGAATAGTCTGCCTGCACAGTCCTAGTTCCCTTCTGGGACCAGCTGGGTGCCGGGTTCTCTCTGAGCGTGTGTGTTCTCAGTCAGTGGGGACATTTGTGTCTGCTCCGCGGGGCGTCTCTCTGAAGCCTGGTTCTTGGCTCAGCCCCTGGGGTCACGCAGAAAGCGCGGGGGATCCCAGAGCAGGAAGACAAATGCTGCGCAGGCGCAGAGGAGGGCTCCTGCCCTAGGGCCGGATCTGCTGCCCAGGCGGCCTCACTTTTCTGTTCTCTTCCAGGAAGCTATCCAGCACAACTCCTTCTTCGAGGAAGAAAGGAAACTGGAATGTGGAAATGTTGATGAAGCATTTAAAGTGGTTGATCAAATCCTTGAAGGTAAAACTATCTGAAAAAAAGGATGAGGGGGAAGCACCCCTGGGAAGCCTTCTGAGCATGTCTAGCTTAATGCCTTTGCCTTCTAGAAATCAGCTCTGAAACAGGCACCTCCTTCACAGAACTGTTCCCCTCTGTTGTGTGCATGTGTGTGCTTAGGAGTGTGTGTGTCTGTGTGTGAAGAGCTCAGCAGAGAGGCGAGGTGGGAGGCCCAGGCCTTGCCCACCTGTGCTGGCCACCTGCCCCACTGCGGCCCCAGTTGCTATACAGATGTCGTCTCTTCCTGTTCACAGTCACCCTGCAGGTGGGGAAACTGAGGCTCAGAGTGGTTATGGAACATGGCCCCGGTCACACAGCAGCTGCTGAGCCACAAGGCTGGTCGTGGACTTGGTGGCTTGTTTTAGGATCTCCAGACCCCTGTTTCTTCTCTTTCGTCCTTTCTCTCCCTGACTTGTCCCTCCTCCCTCCCTTTCTTCTCTGCTTTCTCCCTCCTTTCCTCTCTCCCTCCTCTTCTTCTTCCTTCCTTTCCTTCCAGACTTCCTTCCATTATGTATATATGTAACTAAAATTAAATTTCCCTCTTAGAAAATAGTTGATTTGAAATTTCCAAAAAAAATTTTGTTACTTTTTATGTAGAAATAATTTTGAATTTACAGAAAATTTGCAGAAACATTAAAGGAATTCCTAATTACCCTTCACCCAGAATCCCCAATTATTAACATTTTACATTTGCTTTATCATTCCCTCTCTCTCTGTCTATATATATGTATAAATATACATTTTTTTCTAAGCCATTTGAGAGTAAGTTACAGATATGATGCCTCTTTACCTCTAACTACAGTGTTTATTTCCTAAACAAGGACATTATCTTACATAAACATACGGTTATCCAACTCAGAACGTCAACATACGGTTATAAAAATTAGAACGTCACCATTGACATAATTTAATCTACAAAACTAATTCAAATTTTGTCATTTGTCTCAATAATGTCCTTTATAGCAAAAAAAAAAAAAAAAGAAGATTTATGACAGGTCGTAAATAACCCATAATGTTCCCACTGTGCTCTGCTGTCACCCATACTGTGGAAGACCAGCATCCAAGATCTGATTTAGCCAGAGGTGCTGGGTGGGTGTGGGCTGTGTGTACCAGGTCTCAGGGCAGAGGATAAAGCATTTCACATTGTCTGTCTTTAAGTGAATTCCAGGATATTGGCCTCTAGATGGTGGTTAGAAACTACAGTCTCCCTAATTTTTCTTTCCAGCTCTGATCCCAAGCACAGGAGGAGTCCTAAGACACACCATCCCTGAACACACAGCAGAGCCGTGTCATATATAACCCGTCACTTGAGCCCAAAGCCCGCCATGTTTCTTAGCTCCATAGCTGCGTTACACCTGAGGCTGGTCACAGGCTGACTGGATAATGTCTCCTCTAAGTTGTAGAAAAGAGACCTTACGCCGTCACCCCACCAGTGTTCCTTGGCGCCCTGTCTTATTAGCTGTGTGACGTTGCAGGGCACTTCTCAGCGCTCAGGCTCCTTGTTTTAAAATTGTATGGAGAAAGTAATACTGATCCCAGAGATCCACTCTGAAGATTATAAGAGATAATATGTGTGTGTGTGGCTCAGAGCTTGGCACATAGCAAGAGATCCATAATGGTGAGTGATGGTTATTATCAGGTTTGGTGTCTTTGTTGTTGATACTAGGAAAGGTGTCTGTTATTGAGCTAACACACTGGCAGGCATTCATCATCACACCCAGTGTTTCCCAGTTTTTCTCACTGTGAGATGTTTGTGAGACCTGCCTGCAGACTCCTGTGCCCTTTCCTGGAATTCTGGAGTTGGAGGATCCCGGGTGCCCAGGACTCTGTTTCTGATGAGTGTTCACAGTGCTCCGGGTGACTCTCAGGTTTAGTAAAAGTGGTTCCCTCGAAGGGCGAGTTCATTTTGTGGGAGAAGAGAAGGAGGGGCATTTTTGGCATAGAGACCATGGTGTGAGCATCCTGGACATGCCACTGTTTAGGGTTTCCTGCACCTGTGCCATAGTGTGTTCTTGGCTCTGTTCTTGCCATAATGTTTTTGTGTGAGAACTCAATTATTGTATTTTTCCTTGACATGTTATTTAATGATTTAATTCAGTTAGGTAATTTGTTCCATCTGTCTTCTACTTGACTTTTACCTTGTTACAGCCCCATATCCCATTGATATGTGTAAAAGTGACACAGGAGGCTTTAAAAGGGACATTTACTCTACTTTTAAGTTTTCATCCTCTTGACTCATGAGTTTGAGGTATTTTTTTCTTATTCTGTAATTGTCATTTGGAGTAAAAATTTTTAACTCATCATTTCAATGAGAGGTGATTCATTGAGAGTAGTAATAACAGCACTGTGTCTGCCCCTGGGAAAATAGGTGTTTCAGGAAAAGAGAATATTGGAAAGATAAAATATGTGGAGCATGACATCAAGTCTCAGACTGTGTTCTTGAAGAGAGTGACCGTTGTTTGCTTTAACCCATGTGGGGGTGTATGTCAGCCCTCCCTAGCCCTGGGGTCACGGCACCAGAGGGCATTAAAATCGCATCTACCCTCGTGTCCCAGCTCTGCAGTGAGCCTTCTCTGCTCCGCGTTGTGCCGCTTCTCGTTCATCGCTTTAACCTTCTGTTGGCCGGGATGGGCCTCACACTGCAGAGTGTGGAGCACAGTCTCTGAGCAGGATTTGCAGGAGATCTGGGAGCCCTGACGTGGGGTGAGCTTCCCCAGAGCCTGTCCTCTTGGGCCTGGGACAGATGACTCCTTCATGTCTGAGCGGCTTTTCCGTCTTTAAGGGCCTCTTATTAAAATGTAAATATGCCTGGAGGAATCACTCTACACCCACAGGGGGATAAAATTTTGTCTCCGGGATGAGTTCATCAAATTGGTTTCCAACCCAGAGAGTTGAGAGCAACACCCTACAGAGTGAGGGTGCCATGGGTCGAGGGCTGCGGGGGGCCAGCGCAGTGTAACAGGGTCTAAACCCTTGCCTGCCTTAAAGGTTTAAGGACAAAGAGCTCTGTCTAATATTTATTAGTTTTTTTTTTTAAATGAGGTCCATGTTTAACAAAATTATTTCTGAGTGGCTAGGTGGAAATGCTAATACTGCAAACCATGAATTTGAGCCTACTGACAAGTAGGGTTTCAATATACAGTCTTTGATAAAAGCTTGAGTTGAAATTGAGATCTGAATTCTTGACATTTTGATTTTTATATTTTATAAATGAAAGAGTCAGCTTATTTTTCTATACTCTTTCTTTACTCAGATTTTGGATAAGATAGGAAGTCCAGACAACAGTACAAAGGATTTCCTTGGGAATCTCCCTCAAACAATTTGGAAATCACCATTTTGGGCTATAATTTTTAATTTTTAAAAGTCTGCCTTCCACCTCATGTGATGGCTGCTCATAATTTTCCTCTGTTTTTTGTTTTTTTCCCTGTCTTCCAATGGGTTACTTGAAGATTTTTCAGAATTCCTTTTTGATTTATATATAGTGTTTTTCAGTGTATCTCTTTTTTTAGCTTTTTAGTGGTAGTTCTAGGTGTTAAGTTTTATTTATATATATTACAATATATCTAGTAGCAACATTTATCAGTTTGAGTAAAGTATAGAAACCTTACCTCCCTTTACATCCCTTTACTCTCCCTCATTTATAATATCATTGTCTTAAAAATTCCCTCCACATTCATTGAGTACCACATGAAGCAATGTTATATTTTTGCTTTAAATGCAATTCATAAAACTCAAGAGGGGAAGGAAAGTCTACTGTGTTTACCTGTATTTTTATTCTTTCCATTGTTCTCTCTCTTTTCTGAACAGGAACAGAAGTCTTCCTGTTCCCAGAGTCCTTTTTTAAAAAAGATCATTTCTTGTCTGTTTTTAAAACTTCCCTTAGTCATTATTTTAGTGTAAGTCTCTTTAAGACAAATTTCGTTAGCTTTCCTTCATCTAAGAATGTTCTGATTTCCTTTTCATCCTCGAAGGATATTTTCACTGAATACAGAATTCTGAGTTGACAGGTCTTTCAGTGCTTGAAGAAGATGTTGTACCAGTTCCTCTGGTCCCCATAGTTTCTGATGAGAAATCTGCTGCCTTTCAAAGTATTTTTCCCCTATAGGTGAGGTAGTATTTTTCTCTCTCTGCTATCAAGATATTTTCTTTTTTTAACTTTTATGAGGTTTGTGATGTGTCTTGGCATGGATTTCTTTGGATTTATCATATTCCCAAATAATCACTCAGCTTCCTGAATCTGTAGGTTTGTGTCTTTTGCCAAGTTTGGGAAATTTTCACCCATTATTTCTGCAAGTATTTGATTTCAGTGACACAAATTTCAATCATTTATTATATGTATACAGATTCCTGAGGCTCTGCTCATTTTCTTTTCAGTCTGTTTTCTTTATGATGTTCAGATTAGGCAATTTCTGTTGTTCTGTCTTCCTCTTTACTGGTTATTTCCTCTGTCCTCTCTATTCTGTTGTTGAGGTCATCCACTGAGCCTCTTAAATTTTGGTTGTTGTATTTCTTAGTTCTAAAATTTCCAACTGGTTCTTTTTATATCGTCTGTTTCTTTGCTGAGATTTTCTATTTGTTTCAAGTGTTCATGTAAATGCTCACTGAAGCATTTTTATGATGCTGCTTTGAAATCCTTGTCAGATAATTCCAATATCTGTGTCATCTCCAGGTTAGCATCTGTTGATGATCTTTTCTCATTCAAGTTGAGTTCTTGGTATGATGAGTGATTTTTGATTGTGTCTTGGTCATTTTGGGTATTATATTATAAGACTCTCCGTCTTAAATCTCCTATTTTGCCAGAGCACTTCTGACCCTATGTTGGTTGGGAAAGAGGGCTGATGCCTTGTTATTGCTAGGTGGAGGGTGGAAGTCCATGTTCCACATATGGCCCCACTGACACCACCCAGCAGAGGGTTGGGTCATCTCGTTACAGCCTGAGAAGAGCAGAAGTCTAGGTTCCCCACTCAAATGTTGCAGATAAGGATAAGGCCACAGTTTTTTCTGTAGTGTTTGGCTGGAATAGAGTGCTATTACATAAAAGTTTTCTGTCCTGTTAGATTTCCCCTTTCCTGGTCCTTTGGCTAGAGAAAGGAGGGTTTTCTTGGGGCTTTTTTCTGTCCTTGCCTGTTGGTGTTCTTGGATCGTTGGCTTCTCTGGCACCAAGTCTAGGATATTGAAGCAAACATAAACAACAACAACAAAGCCCACTGAACTCACCATTGTGTCTTTGCTTGGGTCCCAAAGTCCCTAGCTGGTCTGCCCATCTCTCTGCCTTTCAGAGTCTTCTTATGTTTCTTTTATACCTAACGTCCGAGGTTATTAGCTGTACTTAGCAGAAGGAACAGAGTAAGTACATCTGCTCCATCTTGTTTTGGAACTGGAAGTCTCCTCGCCATAGTATTTTGAGTCTGGAAAGTCACACACCCTTCCCTAGGATTCTGTGACCTACTGTATTGGCAGCAATGACAGAGTCCCCTACAGGACTCTACATCAAATCTGCATCTATAATGAACGCTGACTATTGTTGGTGGCCCTTCACTGTGCAGCCTCCTGTCCCAGTGAAGCACCATCATTGGACTGTCTCCGTAATGGGATAACGGCTGGGGGACACCATCTGTCCTCTCTGACAGCCTCCTTGACTCTGGTCTACTTTCCTGTAACAGGTGAAGTACATGTGGGAGGTCAAGAACATTTCTATATGGAAACCCAAAGCATGCTGGTTGTTCCCAAAGGAGAGGATCAAGAAATAGATGTCTACGTGTCCACACAGATTCCCAAATACGTACAGGTAACATGGGGCCGCTGTGGAGGGAACATGGCTAAATGATTTCTGCCAGCAAAATATACCAGGAGCAACTGGAGACAAAAGTGTCATATCAGAGACTGAAGAAATTTGGAGTATTAATAACCAATCTGTTTGGGTATTAATAGCCATACAATTGCAAGGCTTTTAAGAGAGTATGGAAGTAGGGGCCTCCTGTTTGTGGATTCATAACTTTAAAACCAATTATGGAATCAGCAAGTCTCTTGCTGTACTCTTGACACTGTTAAGAATACAAAAAAAAGAGGAAGGCCTGCCCTCCAAAGCCTATAGAACCTAACTCACATGAAGCCGTTAGGAAACGTTTTGGACCGAATACAACCAACTACATAAGCAGCTAGGTTAGAATTTACACAGGTGGGAGAATTAAGAGAATAAGGATTTGCTGGGTTCTAAAATCATCCATAAGTCCCGTGCAGAACAAATTTTAAGTTTGGATTTATAGTGAGAGTGAGGTTTGTCTAGATGGTGAGAAGAGTGGCCATTTCCAGGTCATTCCACACCAAGAGCAAATGCCACTCATTCATTCATTCATTCACTCATTGCTTCTGCAAACACTTATTGCCTGTGTCCTATGTATCAGGAAGCATGCATATAAGAAAGAGGAAAGGCACGAAGATGCCCACGCTGGAACGGAGGATGCATTTGGTGGGCCTAGTTTAAGCGTGAAAGTACAGGGAACAAAGCAGAGGGGTCTTGATTCAGTGGGTCATAAGGAGCCAGTGTTGTGACCAGAGCAGGTGGGAATGGGGAAGTGTGGAGACTGAGGCTTTTAGAAGGCAGAACAGTAGGAAGGGCCTGGCAAGCCCCACCCCAGCCCTGTTCTGCTCCTCACGCCTGGCGTGACATTGAGCCCATCACTTCACCCCTCTGGGGTCCCCGTCTATATAAATGCCCTCTAAACAATAGGATGGCAAAGAAGAGCAAGGCCTGCATTCGGGGAAGACCTGCTGGTCAACTTCAGCAGGAATCCAAATGGGAGGTGAGAAGAACCTGCAGGGAGACAGGAGGATGCAGGGAAAGACCCTAACATCTCACTGCTTCAGGAAACACACCCCTAGGGATCAGTGTGGAAAGGACACTTTGGGTGTGGTTCATGGGGAAAATTTTAAAAAATTTAACACGAAAACATCTCACTGATATTGAAAGGACTACTTAATGTTAGTGATAGTTTTGGCAATTTCATTATAGCCAAATACCACTGAGACCAGGCATGGATGCATGCCCAGGTCTTTGGAAATCATCTAGTTATTAGTATAAGCACACAGTTTGTGTAGCATGGACATTATGGAACCAATGGGCCAGGGCTGTCCCCCTCCCTTGCTACGGGTGGGTCTGATTAACAAAAACTGTTACCCTTTACAGGACATAGTGGCTTCAACCCTGAAGCTCCCAGCTAACAAGGTCATGTGTCATGTAAAGCGTCTTGGTGGGGCGTTCGGGGGAAAAGGGATCAAAACTGGCATCATGGCGGCTGTCACTGCATTTGCTGCAAACAAGTAAGTGGAGAAAATCTGCTAAACAGACAAAAATAAAATGAGATCATGCCTAACATTCACAATATCAGGGTTAAGGAGGAAGAATCTGGGTCAAGATTATTTAAAATTACATAGAATATACAAATACACCAACAAGCTGCCAGCTTATTACAACGTCTTTATCTTATGCTGTCAAACTACATACTATAAGAACCAAAATGAGAATCAATTACTGAAAAGAATAGAAACCACAGTAAAAATACTGTAATACCTGGAGAGTAGACAGAAACAGGTCCTGAAATGGTAGGAGTTACTTGTCCTTAGCACCTGTGAAATATGTATCTCAAAAAGTTCATATGTTCATATATCTATATATATATTGCCTTGATTCAAATGGAGATTTTGCTTTCGTTATGCTTACCTTTATTTGTATTACCATTTTCCTTTGAGAATCTCAAAACATTCCCATAGGAAATAGTCTTTGGAGCAGGCGCACCTGGAAGGCTTAATTTCTCTGCTGAGTAATGTAGGTCAGTTCCTGTGTCCATGACACAAAAGACCCCGATTCTAGACCTGTCTTCTCAGGGAGCACTTGACAGGCAGAGACCGCTTGAGTTCCTCTGTTTGTAACCAGTCTATACTGTGGCCTTCGGACTGTTCGCCTATGGCAGAGGCTGTTCCCACAGTGGGAAATAACCCCCAAGCATTCCCTGGAGCCTCTGGCACCCAAGAGCTCTCCTCCCATAAGTAGTGAATGCCAGGCGTTGTGCCCTAACCCAGCAGGAGGGAGACCACAGTGTAGGCCTGAGATCAGCACAGCTGGGCTCAGGGAGTAGTTCTGTTAGGTGTGTGGATGCCCCTCAGGCTCTCACTAGGTGTTATATGAACCCCTGGTAATACCCACTTGGTGGAAGAGTTTGCCTCTCTTGCTTTCTTTTCTGTTTTAGACACGGTTGTGCAGTCCGCTGCATTCTGGAACGAGGAGAAGACATGTTAATAACTGCGGGCCGCCACCCTTACCTTGGAAAGTACAAAGTGAGTAGAGAAAGAAGGGGGAGCGGAAAGGATTCGTGTTGTAAGTAGGACATTCCGTAAGTGCAGGGCGCAGCATTTGGCTACTCTCCAATGGGGACTAACAATGAGCAAATCAACCAATTTTGCTTCCATGGAACTTTCCATTCCTTGTGCTGATTGTTCAGTGAAGCTTTTCTGCTTTGCTCAGAGATGTCAGTTTGTGAAGAGTACTAGCTGGTATTGGCTGGTGCAGAGCAAATAACCGGAAAACACACGAGGATATGCATCTGTGAAAGTAGATCTCATAACCGTACTGTTTCCACGTAATTTAAAAACAGAATAATTCCTGTAAGAATAATGTTATGTGAGATTGCATTTATTTGCCAACAGTTTCCTCATTTTTCAATATATCGAGAGTATTTTTGTAAAACTCTGTTCCAGAAGTTCTTAGAAAAATTTCCATAGGAGAAAATAATTATTTTTTGCTTCATAAGAAATAAGTAGTTGTCAGAATGGACTATCTGCTGTAACAAACAACTAAAAACTCTCAGAAGAGACTTAAACCTTTATTGTGTTATTTCTTGCTCAAGTAACAGCTCAGTATAATCAGTGGGGGTTAAGAGGGGGGAGAGGAGAGAACTCTACATTAACTACATTTAACTACATTAAAGAAAATTAAAAATCTGTTCCACAGTTGCATTAGCTGTATTTCAAGGGCTCAGTAACTACATGTGGCTAGTGGCTGCCATATTGGACATGCAGGTGTAGGACATTGCCATCATCACAGAAAGTTCTACTGGCTAGCACTGTCCTAGGGACTCCAAATCCTCTACTGGACCTCTTGCAGAGGGCAGAAGACAAGGGGAGAGAGCGAGCAGGAGTGTTATGTGAGAGGTATTTCAGGCACAAGGCCTGTAGGTGTGGACCTTGCCTCTATCCGTATGTTATTGGCCAGGACTTTGCCACTTCACTGCAAGGGAGGCTGGGAAATGTAGTCTCCTGTGTGCCCAGGATTTGTTGAACACAGCATTGTCTCTTCTACAGCTGGTGTACCTGCATACATATTTTTAGAAGATAATGAACGTGTCTATTTCAACTCACATTCACTCTAAGCTATATTTTGAATTTGCTTTAGTTCAACAAAGATTTATTAGAGTGAACTTTGTCCTGACAGAGATTACATTTTGGGAGTTGAGGGGGAAATAAGACTTACACACATGATGTCATTGTGAAAACAATAATCTGCGCACAGAGTAAACCTTTGGGGAGAGATGAATATGAGCTTGAGTATGTACAGGAGACATCTTAGAGAAAGTGACACATAGATGGCCTTCAGGAATGGATGGCAGAAAGAGGGCGTCCAGGTGGTGGAAGGAGTGGGAGCGAACATGCAGAGGTGGGAGGAACATGGTGTGTTTGATCAGGGCAGGAGTAGGAGAGAGGGAAGAGAGCACAGAGTGCTTACTGAAGAGGGGTGCAAACGAGGATTGGTCAGGTTAAGTGGTGCAGACTGAGAGGAGCCTGGAGTCCCAGGATGGGGGTTTAACCTTGATCTCATGAGAGAGAGTGAGACTGAGCAGATCCTTGACCAGTCAAGTGTCATAACCAAACATGGGTGCATCGGGGAGGGTGATATGATGGCACCAGGCCATCTGGGGAGGAGAGAGGGTGGAGGCAGGCAGACCACCAGGAGGCAGCTGATGCAGTCAGACATGAAACTGTTGGGGTCTGAGCTATGATAGCAAGATGCAGAAGAAGAGACGGGTCCAAGAGCCATGATAGTATGAAATAAAAGAGGAGTTGGTGACAAACTTGGCCAGTACAATGGGGACTAAAACCACTAACATGATTTGGAAGTTTCTAGTATAAAGAGCCAAGTTGGAAGGAAGAACCAATCTGGAGGGACAATGATGAGCTTGTTTGTGTAAATGTTGGGAAAGAAGTGACAACAGGACATTTAAGTAGAAATGTCCTTCACCAATATGGGACTTTATTGAAAGGACTGGATTATAGTTATAGAAGCCATCAACATAGCAGTGATTAAAACTATGAGAAAATATTGTTTTCTAATGGAGAGTAGTGTGAGGATAGGAGATGATAATATTTATGATAGTAATATTAATAATTTATATTTAGAACACGAGCTGTGTTTCAGTCACTTACATATTAGTTTCCATGCATTGCCTTATTCATGGCCACTTCACAGATAGTCAGAGAGGCTGTATAGCTTGCCTGGATCGCAGAGCCAGCACTCCAGCACAAACTGCTGGAGTTCAGAGGCCGTGCCCTTGACCACGACTTTGGTTTGAATTTGGTTCCGTTTAACAAAAATCATTAAAGGGAACTTTAATAAGTTCAGAGATAGTGAAGCAGCGTACACCTGGGAAACAGGGGTATTGATTACACCTTAAAAGCAAGGATGATATTTATTTGAAAGACCTCCCAGCAGCATTTGGTTGGATTGGGCCCTATGAGTAAACTGTGCAGAGTACACTAGGTGCAGGCCATCGGATGCGGAGATTAGGAGGTTAGGTGGCTTTGGGGGAGAAGGTTTGGGTAGAAATGTGAGGATGGGAGGCAGAATCCAGGACCTGTGACGAGAAGGAGAGGTCAAGAACTAGGCAGTTGGTTTGCGTTAGGAGGAGAGCAAAGGATTGATTCACTAGTAGTGATGAATGGACAGGAGGAGTTTTTGTTTGTTTGTTTTGGTTTTATGGCTTTCTCGACCCTTCCTTTTTTATTATTATTATTAGTTGTGGCAAAATGCACACACATAAAATTTCTATCTTAACCATTTCTAAGTATACAGTTTGGTGGCGTTAGTACATTTACATTGTTGTGCAGCCATCACCACCCTCCATCTCTGGAATTCTTTTCTTCTTGTAAAGCTGAAACTCTGCACCCATTCAGCAATAACTCCCCATTCCTTCCTCCCCATGGCCCCTGGGGACCACCATTCTACTTTCTGTCACTAGGAATTTGACTACTCTAAGTACCTCAAATCAATGGAATCAAACAGTATTTGTCTTTCTGTGTCTGGCTTATTTCACTTAACATAACTCCCTGAAAGTTCATCCCTATTGTAGCATGTGTCAGAATTTCCTTCCTTTTTAAGACTGAATGAAATTCCGTTGTTTGTACATTCCACATTTTGTTTATCCATTCATCCATCAGTGGACACTGGGTTGCTTCTACCCCTTGACTATTGTGAATGAGGCTGCTATGAACATAGGTGTGCAAACATCTCTTCGAGACCTGCTTTCAGTGCTTTTGGATAAATACCCAGAAGTGGGATTACTGGATCATATTGTAGTTCTATTTTTAATTTTTGAGGAACTTCCATATTGTTTTCTATAGCAGCTGCGCCATTTTCCTTTCCACCAACAGTGCACAAGGGTTCCAACTTCTCCACATCTTCACAAACATGTATTATTTTCTGTTACTGGTTGTTTGTCTTTATAGTAACCGTGCTAATGGGTGTGAGATGGTATCTTGTGGTTTTGGTTTGCATTTTCCTAATGATTAGTGATGTTGAGCAGCTTTTAATCTGCTTGTTGGACATTTTTATATCTTCTGTGGAGAAATCTCTATTCAGATCCTTTGTCCACTTTTCTTTTTCTTTTTTTTGTGAGGAAGATTGGCCCTGAGCTAACATCTGCCAATCCTCCTCTTTTTGCTGAGGAAGACTGGCCCTGGGCTAACATCCATGCCCATCTACCTCCACTCCATATGGGATGCCGCCACAGCATGGCCTCACAAGCGGTGCATCGGTGCGTGCCTGGGATCCGAACCAGCGAACCCCGGGCCACGGCGGTGGAGCGCGCGCACCTAACTGCTTGCACCACCGGGCCAGCCCCCTTTGTCCACTTTTTAATCAGGGTGCTTGTTTTTTTTGTTGTTGAGTTGTAGGAGGACTTTATACATGCTGGATATTAACCCCTCTCCAATATATGATTTGCAAATATTTTTTCCCATTCTCTGGGTTGCCTTTTTGCTCTGTTGATTGTGTCCTTTGATACATGGAAGTTTTTCATTTTGATGTAGTCCAATTTATCGATTTTTTTCTTTCATTGCCTGTTCTTTTGGTGTCATGTCCAAGAAATTATTGGCAAATCCAATGTCATGAAGCTTTTTGCTTATATGACGAGGGTTCACAAGTGACAAAGTAAATGTTAGAGAGACGTGGTCCCCAGCACCAGTATCTAATGTCAGTTCTCTTTCCCCAGGCTGGATTCATGAAGGATGGCAGAATCTTGGCCCTGGATGTGGAGCATTATGGCAATGGAGGAGCCACCCTCGATGAGTCGTTACTTGTAAGTGTTTTAAGGAACAAGTTTACATTCTGGAAAGTGTTACATAAAATGATTTATTTCATAACATGTTCAACAGTTAAATAACATTTAACTATAAAATCATCAGACCCTTGTTTCAGGGATAGCCATGTCTTACTGGTGCCTCCAGAGTGAGCCCCGAGATATTGGCGACGTCTGTGTCTGTGTGTTATCTCCATGTTTCCTATACCTAGAGCTCTTTTCCCAAATGCAAGCATCAGACCTCAACCATGGCGCTATTCTGGACTGGATAATTCTTTGTTTTGGGGCTTTTCCTGTGCATTGTAGGATGTTTACCAACATCCTGACCTCCACCCAGTAGGTGTCAGTGGCACAGCTACCCTCCACTCTGATGAATGAATGACAAGTATTGGATATACTGGAATATATGAGGAAGCTATTTGGTTTAAAACTAATTCGCCTGAACTTATTTTTCCAAAAAGACCTGACATGGCCTGTTGAGCGTGCATTGTAGATCTGCTTTAAACATTTACAATGTCCCAAAGACAAGAGTGATGCCCTTAAGGATAGAGATATAGCTTCCCCCCGATATTGACATTTCTTTAAGGATAAGCATCTCTTCCTGGAAACTAAGGGTTAATTACCAACCTACTATGTTCACCTTATGACCACTGACTTGCTGTGCCAGCTAAGCCTTTCATGACAGTAGTAAAAGAGATATTCCTGTTATACGTGATGTATTCTCTTTGTTCCAAGGCAGTGTATAACCACTCTGTACACCCTACTTCTTCTTCCTTGCAGAAGGAAGCCCCCTGGGCATAGTCCTCAGACCTGGCTCATCATAAACGCACTCCAAATTTTGATTTATAGATTGATTATAGATTATTTGTGTCAACAAGTCTTAAGAACCAAAAATGTCTCCAGACGTTGCCAGGTGTTCTCAGGGAGAGAGGGGGCAAAATTGCCCCTGGTTAACCAATGCATTAGACCGAATGCCAAGACATTTTTTTTCCTGTTTTCCAGGATATTTTACTCATTATGTTCTGTAGACCCAGTGTTTAGGGCCTATGGCTGCTTCAAAGACTTTTGGAAATGTTTGAAACCTGGAAAAAATGCACTAGCCCTAAAATATGAAAATAAAAAATATTGATTTGAAAAGATAAATTATTCAAGCCCTTAGAATTATTTTATAGCAAAAATGCATTTAATTGGGGACGTGGGTGTATTTCAGCATGTTTAATAGGTAGAGAGGGTCGGTCAGTCATTTCTGGCTGGGTTTTGGTCTGAGGTCTCAGGATGGTAAACAGGTACGGGAGGATGAGGGTCTTGTCACATCGACTCTGGATTTCCTCAGGTGATGGAAACGGGAGTTCTGAAAGTGGAAAATGCTTACAAGATTCCCAACCTGCGCTGCCGGGCCCGGGTGTGCAGGACCAACCTTCCATCCAACACGGCTCTGCGCGGGTTTGGCTTCCCCCAGGCGGGGCTGATCACCGAATCCTGCATCACGGAAGTCGCAGCCAGATGTGGGTTGTCCCCTGAGAAGGTAATGCTGAATTAGTCTCACACAGGAAAGGCCTCGAATTCCAGCGGTGGGAGGGCCATGGGGGTCATGCAGGTTGAGAAATTTGAGATCCGGAGGGGTGAAATGATTTGCCAGAGGGAACCCAGCTGACTAGTTAGTACAGAACCAGGACTCCACAGTGCAGAGGTCCTCGTCTTACTCGGGCTCCTTCCCCAACATCCTGGAGACAGAGGATCTTGAGGAGTGAGCATTGCATTCTAACCTGTTTAGTGAGAAGTCTCCACGGGTTGGGGGCATAACTGCTGTCCACAGGTTCTGTCGAACCCTCTTTCCCTGCTTCCTTAACACCTCAGGCAGCTGTCACAAGGTTTCAGTCATTTCTGTTACTGAAATTGTCTCCTGTCT